CGGCTGCTCCGACAGTGGCTCTCAGTGGCGGACGACGACTCCGCTGGTTGTGGGGCCGCATGATATATTTATGTATATGGGCTCGAATAAATCTTACCTTAAAGCCTTCTAATGTATTACCTAAACACCTACTCTAAAAAATCTCGTTGGGCGATTTATCAAAACTTCTGAACTCTCAAATATTTGAAGAACACGATTTTTCTCTTCCTTAGGAACCTTAAAATCGGGCAACATGCATAGGGGGAGATGTGGGGACATGGTGTATTTATTGGCTACATATATTAGGGACCTTAAGGAAGTTCTAAATATGAGCTTATCCTATTAGGTTTAGAAAACCTAATTATGTTCCATATCTTTTCCCATCTAGGATAGTATTCCTCATATTCTTAATTACTTTTTAGAAGACTCCATAGTCTCCTAACCTTAGGTAATATTCTAGAAGGAATATTCCTTTCCTTAGAGAATCTTAATTATAGAGTAATATTATTGGTCTTCCCATTTAACTCCAATTTATTCAATAAATCTGTACCTCCACTTGATTAATAAATATTAATCTAATTGGTCGATTTACTTCCTTATGTTTAAGATAGATTCTTATTTATTTCCGAAACTAGTAACACTCAGAACCTTAATCATTATGTCGGATATACATCCGTCTGCAGGACTTGACATAATATTCCTTACTGAGCTCACTTCGGGGGCGTCATCAACCCAGCGGCATTGGAACATAGCGTCCGTAAATAATTTATAACAACACATCATATAAACACCCCCATTTACCTAAGTACCAGTATGTCATCTTAACAGAATAGGAATCACCATTTATAAATCAAATAAACAAGTAATGAATATATTAACCCATTGTATATTATCTTATGACTTTAAGAGTACTCATCATTTACTGAAGGTCTATATTACAACAACGGTCAGTGAGTCTCATAATCTTATCCTTCTGCGGTCTTATTCAATACTTATCATAAGTACTAGTGCAAACCTTCAGTCGAAGACAAATTGAATCCGGATTACACTACAGTCTTTTTCCAAGAGGGGTCTCAATGTCTGTCTAGATTGTGAACATATAATTTAGTCTTACAAGGAACCGATAGATGATCTTTCTGTTCGAGACACCACGCACTATACTGTCCCAATGTAAGACAAGGAGTATGACTGCATAAATAAATAAACTACAAGCATATGTATTTTGACCAAAACATGATTGCCAGATCAAAATTGAATTGTTAGAATCTGCAAAACTGAGCTTTTACAACATACCTCTAACACTCTCAGTCTCAATATGAACAACCAACTCTGTAAGTTCCTAAGATTTTCTTTTTCTCGTAAGATCATATCAACCTCTCAGATGTTTATTCTTTTACATTATAAATTTCTCAATTCTAGCAATCAATTGCCTCCTCTTGGTCTCAAATTGATCACAAATATTCATACATAGCGGACGTCTACTCATACAATAAAAATAAGTACAAGAAGTTCATAACAAAAGATAAACCAGAATGAATCGAATAAAAATCTATGTCTGTAAACCAATCCGAGTACTAACAAATCCAAGAATCTTTTTTTTTTTTTTTTTT